CAGTCCTTGTGATTCAGAGCTGAGATTGGCTGACTCCTATTGTAGTCTAGCCAAAATTTTGAGAATCTTAGATAAGTTATTTTTAGATATGAATAAAGACTTGGAAAATAATTTGATGCTACTTTGATATAATGCTCTGATTTTCACATAGCTTCACTGGCTAGGGCATTCTGCCTATACTATATAATTTGCTATTTTGTGCAACTAATGCTGTTTCAACATAGAATGTAGCTTTTTAACATATTTTTAAAACTTAAACAAGGAATAGAGTGCTGCTCTTCATGTATTGGTCCTCAAGTACAGGGAGAATGTTCTTTTGTACACAACTTATTCTAGTAGCGCTCTTAGTGCCTTGCAGGAACTTTGAAAGGACTGACAGGCAGTGGGATACCCTATCTTTGCTCTATAGCAAAGTTTAAATAAGTTTATCCTAGACAACAAAAATGGTTAAACTTTCCTAGTGGTCTGAAAATGCAGTAATACAGCAGCAATTGAAAAGTAATAATATTTTGTGTGACCACAGTGTTCCCAAATTTCTCAACCTAATTAATTGAAATTACACATTTTCTCAGAACAGCACTAACATTTTGATTGCAAATGCATACTGAGTGGACATTTAAACCTGAGTCAGAATGCTGTTGGAATATATTTCTTTTGGGGAGCCTGGCAATATTCCATATCTAGTCTGCTGAGATCTTTAGGATTGAATGTTTGATCAGTTTAAATATCTTGATCAGCTGAACACTTTTTAAAAAAATAGTGCTATTTTTCTGGTTTAGAATTAACTTTCACAAACGTCTCATAAGACTTAATATTTATTGATTAAATACAGTAAATAGGAGAGAAGCAAGTGTGAACTGCCAGGTAGAATGAAGTGCTCATCAATTTAACTATCATTGTTGTGGGATACAAGTGTTGAGCCATGGACGCATAAAGAGTTTCATAACTGTCACCCTCAAGAAATCCTGTTGTCTGAAGAACTGAGGTCACTTTGATTAGAGATTTTTTTGTATGCCTCTAGATGACATAGTAATAAAATGACAACCAAGAACAACTTTACACCTGATTCCATAAATGTTATTTTAACTTGTGGATTAGTTTTGCATTGTTGTTCATGAGTAACGAAGCTTTTCTTTGTACACAGTTCTAATATTTCAAGGTGGGTTATTCCATGTACGTATATTAGTGAGCAGCTGGTAGCCAGAGCTGCTGCATTAGCTGAAGCCCGAGCCCCACCGCCCTGGGCTGAAGCCGAAGTCCGAGCAACTTAGCTTTGCGGGGCCACCCCCTGGCATGAGGCCCTAAGCAGTTGCCCTGCTTGCTACACCATAACGCCAGCCTTGGCTTTTAATTTACTGTATATGCAGAAAAAGAGTTGTTGTGGCACAAGTGGGCCGCGGAGTTTTTATAGCATTACTGGAGGGCCTCAGAAAGAAAAAGGTTGAGAACCCCTGCCATAGATCTTATTTGCTTTATCTATTGTTTCGTTTGTGAGATCACTAGAGTCTTTTCAAGATCTTCCCACTCTGTGTTCCCCATCTGTCATTTTGTGAAGTCGTGTTAGCCCATGTAGCCACCTCTTCATAGAATATGTAAGGTTTCTATCTTGCCTTGACTATGAATTCCTTTAGGAGACAAAATATGTTGTCACATAAAACCCCAGGTCTTCTCTGGGGCAGGTTTTGGGAATTCCTAAGATGGCATTTTGATCTGGTTTGATAATGTAGCTTTGTGTCTTTAACTATGCATTAATAGTCATTTGTGTGAGGGGTATGCAATTTGCTTGTCAATCTTACAGAAAGTTTTGAATTTTTGCTCATGATTTGTGGATGTTCAACTTTTATTCCATAATCTAATCGTGGTCTGGAGTGTTATGCACTAGTTTAGATTACTTTTTATAAAGCGTTCTGTAATCAACAGCAGATTCTCAATGGTAGACTCACAGTTTGCATGGAAAGTGTGAGCTGTATTACAAAATTAAGAGCAAGGTGAACCAACACATCTGATTCTGAGAGAACTGTAACCCATATGTCTCATTGCAGTTGCACATCACTAGATTTGTTTATATGGGCCTTCATCACTATGCCCACAAAAGTGTGAAGGGAAAAAATATCTTGCAGTAGTTTTCCTATAGTATTGTGACTCCAAGTTATGCCACATGCATAAAGTAGGCTTTGTGAAGTTGATGCAACTTTCTTTAGAATTTCCTGCATTTTAGAAAAAGAAAACATTATCAAGCCAAGTTCTGAAGACATACTAGTCTGGAGCTTTAGTTTTGTCTCTTCACAAGCAGAAATGAACGGTTTAAAGGTTTGTGTGTAAAATTTGTGCTGCTTGGTGTTGAAGGAGCAAGTTCTGAGAGTTGCAGTAGGATTTTTAGGCTCTTTTTGTATAGGCTCTAGGACACAGTTTTAAATAAGCACAAGTACAAATTGTAATAAAAGGGATGGAGCGTCTGACAAAAAGGACTATCGGGTTACTCTTACAGTAAGCAAGCCAACTTTTCTGTTACTATGCATTTGTTATAGGCAAAATGCTTTTTAGCAACAGTATGTTCCACAGTTTGTAGATAAGCCCCAATTCTGCATTGATAACCATGTACTTCTGTTGACATCAGTGGGGCTTTGCAAGGATGCTCACACAGTTCCTAAAAGTTGTATTGGGGTCTTAGGTTGTAACAGATTGCTTTGGAGATCAAATGGACTGTTTTGTTTCTGTTGCGAGAGCAGAATAGGGAAGCCAGCTGTCTGTCTTCTGTGGTATGTTCAGAGATGTTGTTTTTCTGAGCAACCTGTAAAACTAATTAGTGTAAATGTTTATGTATCAGAGTTTGTATTACATCCTAGAGTATCGATTCAAGTTTCTGTTGTGCTAGCCTTGCCAGCTACTTCACCTTGCTTGGTTCAGATATCAATAGAAAACAATGTAGCTTGCCCTATAATGTACTTAGTTTCATCTTTGCTAGTCTATCCACTAGTGTGAACCCTTCCTATAACTTGTATCATCAGTGGAGGCATGCTATTGATTTCAGCACATGGAACCAGGTTGTAACAGTAGCCATTCCACTGCTAAATTCTGTGTCTAGGTAGGCTAACTTGATCACCTATTAATTTAGAACTAAATATCTATTCTAGTAAGGAAAACAGTATCTTCACTTCCAGAAACGCCACAAAATTTGGCCAAATAAAATGTACTCTGCTGGCTACTAATCTTTTTAGACATGCCTTTGAATTGCAGCAATGCTATGGAGTAAAATTATTTTGTAAATCCTTATAGTCAAACTTTATTGATTTGTGCATCCTGTGACTTGCATAGAATTAATTTATTTCCAGTTTTCATAGTGTTCTAATAAAGAAATGTCCAGAATTACAAAGACTTGATAGTGTTAATAAATATAATTAGTGTAAAGTAATCACATATGAACAAATTAAAGCTAAGCTAGAATATATTAATGAGATTTTTTTTTTCACTTGCTACTGAAATGCTCAAAATCAAGTAGCTGGTAATTGGTCTAGTCACTAGTGGAAATTACTGAGATTCTAATGAAGATACAGAAAACACAAAAAGCATACTGGTAAGATACAAATTAAGGAAATAAAGCCATTTTAAATTCATTTGATCTTGGCTTACAACTAGAGTGACATTTCATAAGTTCGGTCAAAATGGTTGCTTTTAAGTAGACCAGTGTATGGGTAACTTGAATTCAGAAGCATTCCTGATATCATGTGTTGAATCTTGATACCTTGTGTGTATACATTATGATACTGCCTTTAATTACATGAGCACATACAATTTTTTTCTTTAACATATGGTTATTGTTTGTAGCTTCCTAGGTATTTTAAAAATAAAACTGAATAAACAAATTCCATCATGTGGCATCATATTGATGCCTACATGATTCTTCATGAGAGTTTGGACTTTTAGATCTACTGCATGGACCTCTGTTGTTTGAACTCGGAGAGTAACTGATGGTGGTAGGTTGTCATCCTCTATATGGACCACCAGTAGAAGGCGGTGGGATGCTTTGTCAGTGGATTTCACAGGAATCTTGGGTTGCATACCAGACATTGGAGGGGGGTGTGCTCTAGCGGGCACAGACTTTTTTGTTCATTACCCCAAGTTTCACCCCTTCTGCCCCATGCCGTCCAAACTGTCCCTGTCCTGTCTTTTACCAACCTTTGCCTCTTTGTTCCAGTCCTGTTTGCCTCACCTAATCATTCCCAGTCTACTTGCCCAGCAAGTTCTAGTCTCACCGTCTGGCTCTTAATTACAGAAGAGACAGTTGTCTTGCTCTGTTTCAGTGCTTAGCCCCAGCTTGGCCTGCAGCAGCCTCCGGAACCACAATTGCAGGGAAAGTTCTGCTCAAACTTTGTGGAATCAAGCTGCAAAGTTTTAGCAAGTCAACTGTTATGTGCAAACTGCAATTTTTGAAATTTTTTTAAATCTTGGATTTGTGGCTGACCAAAGCATAGGGGCAAAACTTATTTTTCCTAAGCCTCGTTCTCAGAAATGTTGGCTGAATTTTTTTCCATAAAATTTAGCCTGAGGCAGACACCTGGTATAGAAAAAATTCAGCCCAAATGTTTTGGTAAAATTATAAGAACCAAAGATAGTCTTACAGTGAGCAGTGTCAGGCACTCTTAATAAGTGGTAATACAAGCCCCACCTATAATATTCATTGCTTGTGTATTATATAATAGCACTTGATCTGGTATCTGAAGCACATTTATATAGGAAGTGGCCTGGTTTTAAAAGTTGTGAAGTAGGTTTAGTAAGTATATTGAACATCTGTTGCAAAGTGTGTAATCCCTTTCAAAAGCAGTATACTATTCTTTATCAACTGTACAGTAATGGTTTCCCTGAAATTCTGTTTCTTAGCATCAGAATAACTTGATTTTATTTTGTGGCACAATGACACAACACAAAAACAACAACAAAAAAGCCATATTCCTTTACCCTTCGGACATGAAATGTAACTACGTTTATTACTCTTTCCCCAGCCCAGTGTATTAATTGTAAGCTACAAGGAACTATCAAAACCAGCTTCTCAGTTTGGACCCTATAAGCAAGCAGAATGGAGGCCCGACAGCACCATGATAGCTGTTTCAGTAAGTAGAGAATTGTTTTCTTTGAAATTGTGGTGTGTGTGTGTGTGTGTGTGAGAGTGAGTGTATATATATCAATCTTAACTAATGCCGAAAGGCCTTCTGTGCCATAGGTAACAAGTTCCATATAAAGACCAACTATACAAACCATAATCAATATTGATCATTGGTATAGCACCCTGTTCTCTCATGCATGATCTGCATAATAAAAACTTAAAGGAAAGCTGGTTTTGAATTTTGCACAGAGGAGGATTGTGGATGTTCATTATTTGTATTACAGTAGTGCTTAAGGGCCCTGGTCAGGAATCAATGCCTCTTGGTCCTAGGCATTTTACAGACATGAAGTACAAAGACAGTCCCTGCCCCAGAGTCTACAGGCAAGACTTAATAGATGGGTCAAACAAACAGGTGGGGAGAAGGTAAAGGAAGGATGAGTTAACATTCTTTTTTTAAACACTATCTTCCTTGGTAAGGAGTAGCCATAGCTTTTCAGCTGTATAGACATCACAGTAGAAGTGAATCTTAGAGGATAAAGTAATAGCTTTATGGATATTTTGCGGGAGGTTTTTCCTATGCATAGGGAATGGCATGAGAATGAGCAATGGAGTGTTTTGAGAGAGAAGCTGAGCGATAGGTAATAAACGCTGGAAACACTGGAGCAAAGGCAGCTTTCAACATTATGACTTCATGCTGCATAGCTACTAAATCCGATTCATACCTGAAGAACCTTAAAGACAAGAAGCTTGTATCTTATGAATGGAAAAGCCCAGTAGAAAGAAGCTGGGAATGTGATCAAGCAAGTTGCTAGGAAAACTATCTTAGCAGCATATTGAATGGATTTGAGAGGCAAGGTTGCAGCAATAAATGCTAGAGAGTAGATTTCAGTAGTCAAGATGTAAGATGAGTTTTGGTAGTGTGAAGAGGAGGAAGGCTGGATCTTAACTGTATAGGAAGAAACATCAAGACTTGGATATGACATGGAAGTACGGGTCTAAAGAGAAGGCCAAATTGAAGGTGATATCTAGATTATGGGCCTGAGTGACTGGGAGGATGAGGAAGATGGTGTGTGTGGGAATCAGAACTGGAAGGGATCTCGAGAGGTCATCTAGTCCAGTCCCTTGCACTCAAGGTAGGACTGAGTATTATAGAGGAAGGTTTAGGAAGGATGGTGATCATGAGTTCAGTTTTGGCCATGTTGAATTTTATCACTTGACATCCATGAGATGTTAAAGACAAGTGAAGAAGTAGGTTCAGATGGTACGTAGAGGTACGTTTTTGGGTCATCAGCATAAAGTTGCCTGAAGTTGTACGTGTGTGAGGTTATCCAATGACAGGGTATAGGGGCACAAAAGAAGGAGCCCAGGTTTAGTTCTGTAGGATCCCCACCAAAAGTTGGAGATGAGGAGGACCCACTGAAGAACGATTAAAGAGGAGAGTTTAAGTCACAAAAGCCAAGGGAGGACAAGATTTCAAGAAGATAAATATTTGAGGTGTGGATTGGGGTAGAAAGGAAACTGGGAGAGAACTCCAGAGTCACCAGTCCTATATGGAAAGAGGTTCTGTTTTCCTCTCCAATTTTTGTATAGGGACAGTGAGTTCTGGTTTTGCTGTTCTCAGCAGTGTTGTTGCTTGTATGTCTCAGCTGCGGTGAGACACAAAATACATAAATTTTCAGATGGTTGGAAGGCTTTAAGTACTGAAAGCTTAGGTATTCATCAGATAGACTGCATCTGAACCACACACACAAATATGTTAGATATAAATTCTTCAGATATAAATTCTTTAGCATTTTCATTAGTGATTGCCCTACTATATTAAAAACCCAAATCTCTGTGTAAGATTCTTTAGTAGAAACTCATCAAATATTGTACAAATCTGATTGTTTCCAATGTGGCCATTTTTGCTTTCTTTAGTAAATCCTGTTTTTGTCTATGTACTATAGTAGCCTTACAAAACTGTCAAGAAAATCTACTCTCTGAAGGCTAATATGGAGTTTTATTTACTTAGCAAAAACATTATTCTCCCAGAGTGACTGGCCAAGTAGAACTTTACAATAATGTTATGTAGCATTCTTCTAGCTTCCCTGCTAGAGAAAGAAGGATCTTTAGTTCATCTGTATTATAGCATTACCAAGCTATATAGCATTATCAATGCTTTACAGTAATTTCAGCATTTTAAACTGTCACTGTATGCAAGTGGCATCTTATTCATACCTAGGGGGGCATGAATCATTATGTTGAATTATTTATTATAGGGTGAACTTCTTGTAAATCTTTTTTTCTCAAATTTTAATTGTGAACTGAGGATTGCAATAAGATATTGTATTAAGTTATTGCCATTTAGTTTTGTACAACTTTTAAATTATGACTCCGTGGACTAGGTGGGTACTTCTGGAAATCAGGTGAATAGCCAGGCATCATTTGATTAAATCCGTCTTTTGTGCTTCTTTCTCTGCTGGAGTCTTTCCTGGACTTAACTAAATTATAAGTGTCTGATAAATTGCTATAGTGCTGCTCAAACTCCTTAAAAACCACTATTTTAACCTATGGAACTCTTGAGTAAAAATACAAAATCGTTCAATAAAATATACACAGTAAACATTTATCCCTTGAGCTTTTTTCCCCTGTGTATATTATGGCAGAGTTTGAGCCTAAGGGCTTTACTCTACTGGCCACCTCTATTCCAAGGCAGCACATTAGTGAGGGGTCTTGCAGAAGTGTAACAGCAGAATTTGGCCCAATGACACTCCCAGAGAGTGTCTAAGAAATGTAACAGGGAAGAGTCTGTGTTCATCAGATGATGTACATGCTCACATTTGTACCTAAAAGGGGTATCAGGTGTTAAAATGAAGTTCATATGCATATGATACAGGCCATGTATTAATACCTGAAGTGTGTTTTCTTACACAAACCATGGTCTTCAAAAATCACTTCAGTTTCAAACTGCCAAATGAGTTGTTACAATTAGGATTGAAAAAACTAGTTTCATGAATGTTTAAATTAAGCTAAACTGCTTAAATATGCTGCATAATATTAACAAATATATTTTTGGGGTGTTGTCAAATGTGTCCTAACACTTTTCATGAGATTGATGTGCTGTATTGTTAACCAGAGTTGATTTTTAGTAATTTTCTGGATAAGTTACAGTACTCTAGAATGTTTTTATAGGACACTGCTTAATATATTGCTGGTGCAAGGTAGTGGAAATTCTGAACTCCCATGTCTTCGAGACCGAGTTCATGTGAGCTTCAGTTTCAGAAACTAAAATAACCTACATACAGAATGAAGGTCAAACCATTGTTGAAACATAGCTAGTCATGAGGTTTCTAATATGTCTCATGTTATAAACACAAGCAAATTTGCAAGACACAAATGAACATAGTTTTAAAAAAAAGAGTGGGGTGATCAGCCTTTGCATAACCGGTGCCTTGTGCCTGAAATTTAACTTCAGTCAGATAACTGGCATTAGTGAATCTTAGAAGTGTGGCCAGATGTGTGAATTCAGGGTGCAGCTTCAGAGGCGTATTCAGGTGAATAAGGCGCAGCTTTAGAGGCTTAATTACTTCCTGCTCAAGAAAAGTGATAGCACTAGCTCTCAATTAGACAGCCAGGGCTATATACATTCTTGAATTGGAAGATAAATTTGTTGACCTAATAATATATAAAATTCCTTGTGGAAAAAAATAAAGCTGTGTACTGAGTTTTACTGTTCCCCAGATGACCAAAGTGATGTCAAATGCAGAAATAAATTGAAATTACAATAGGTAGCAAAAGCTACTTCTCTAGGGACATTATTGTTTCTTGCATCTATAATGTATGCAAAACTCTTCCACTTCATCTTGCTTTTTTGACCCTGCCTCAGGCTGAGCTCTAGGCTGAATCAGGGCTAGGAACAAATGTTGGTAGGGTGTCCAGATTAACATTTATAATTATGTTAACTCTGTTCAATTGCCAGTCAATTACATTGTTACAATAGGACCAAAAAGATTTAGTCCAGATTTAGACCCCTGATCTGCACTGCAATCCTGTTCTGACAACAAAAATTACTACATGACCCCAGGACAGGCGACCGAAGCCTGAGCCCATCCGAGTCCCGCCGCCACGGGTGAGCGGGGACAAAGCCAAAGCCCGAGCCCCACTGCCCCGGGCGAGAGGCTTCGGCCACAGGCAGTGGGTCTGGGGCTTTGGCCCCGGGCCCCAGCAAGTCTAATACCTGCCCTGGTGACCCCATTAAAATGGGGTTGTGATCCACTTTTGGGGTCCTGATGCACAGTTCGAGAACAGCTGGTCTAGATGAAACCAGAGTATCAAATGTATTTCTAGTCCTTCTCCTTTTCCTATACTTCCCCTGCTACTGCCTGTCGTCCATGAGTCTTCTGTTCAGGACTCAATTCCCAGCATATGCAGTGGGATTCTGCTGTTAATAAAAAGCTATAGGAACAGAGTTAATTAGTCTCACACTGTCAAAGGGAAATCATATGGATGAATCCTTTGCAATGCAGTGAATACACTAATAATAATAATAATAATAATAAATAATAATTTATAAGCATATGTATCTCAGATCTCTCAAAGCAAGGAAGGTGGATGTCCTGGCAGTCTATTGAGACAGTGACCAGGGCATTGGGGAGCTGTAGAATGTGGCAGTTTATTATTTCAATGTATTTCAGTGTAAAACTCTCCTACCTAGTGTAAAGTAATTGCGCAGTTGAATGATTATAGTGATCTTGTAATAAAATGTTCAGTTCCTTTATTGTTCAAGTAGCTTCATTGATGGCATTTGATGTGCTGTTCAGAAGTAAACCTAAGGATAGCAGCTTGTACTAAGGATGGAATTCAAGAAGGCCTTTTGTATGTTAATGTCAGTAGGAAGATACTTTACAGTATTGTTTTACTTTTCCTATCTGGATAGAATTCTTATGAGTTTAAATATTTGAACAGGTGCTAAGCAATGGAAAAAACTTATGTAGATGTTAGAAATAGATGCATGTTAAGTTTCTCTACTATGTATTGTGCAGTGAAGTTAATTTTGTTGCACAGTGGCTGGAAATAAATGGAAACTTAACTCTCTCAAGGTCAGAGTGGCACGTTTTTTGTCATCTTGAAGGAAGAAAGGTATTTGCCTTGAAGAATCCCATTTATTTTTTTTATATTCCTGTTTTTTAGTTTGAAGCTGAAACTCAAATTGAATATATTAAAAGCACTAAGTTTTTGGTGCAAAAACTCTATTTAAGCTGATGAAATAAGTGAACAAGCATGTTTCCCTTTTGGTTCCTTAGCTGAAAAACAGGAAATCAGCTCTGGAAAGAAATTTGAAACCTTTCATATTTCTTCGCTTCTTGCCTTCAGTCTTTTTTGCTTTGAGTGCATGCCCATCCAGTTTTAAAATGAATGAGACATAGTTTAGTTTAAATGCATTTGCCCACTTGTCTAGATGCTGCTGCTAAACATTTGGTAAGAAACTGCTGGCTGGCTGACTTGGCAACTTCTTGGTCATCTGCCTCTGCTGTATTTATGCAGGCATTGTATGAATTCTTAGTCTTAACTGTACATGTTAATGACTGAATAAACATACGTCTGCTAGATTAATAAAATATTTAAAAAGTTTGAAACTACTTCTGTCATATCGAAAGGCAGATTTGTTTGAATTATGATGGTATGGTATGCCTAAACCCATTGCCTCCTCCTTCCCAGTCTCAGAGGTGCTGAGGATATGCTACTCTAGTGTTTACTGCAGCAGCTTGGCTTTACTGCACAATTTTGTGGGCACTTTGGGCCCGATTTTTAAAAGTATTTGGATGTTAAAGATAGGCACCTAGTGGGATTTTCGAAAGTGCTTAGGTCCCTAACTCACATTCATTTAAATGAAAATCCCACTAGGTGCCTAAATACCTTTTTAAAAATCAGGCCCATACTCCTACAGTCTGAGCTCTGATCTCCATATTTAAGGAGGAAAATGGCTACCAGTGGTATGCTTTTCATATTGTCTTTTACTGTACAAGTGATCCATACGGTGGATTTTAAGGAGTAGTATGGATTTTTAGCAGAAATGCATCTTGATTTCAGGGTTGTTGAGTTTAACTTTCTTGTGTAACATTTTGCATATCATTGGCTGATGTAAGGTTAATTGAAGCATCTTGTTTATGATCAACCATATTTTGTCTTTAGTAGCACATGCATGCATGGTGTGGTAACCACTCTATTGAAACTGGTATATGAAATTATGGATTTTTTTACTGGATTTTCTATTTAGTTTGTAAAATGTTTGCGACTTTAATGGTTTTTATTGGAATTCCTGTAAGTTTTACATATACACACACACAAACAACATTTGTAAAAGCTGCAACATCTGTCTCTTTCAGACTGCAAATGGATACATCTTATTTTTTGATATTCCATCCTCAAGGGACAAATATCTTTATGAGCCTGTGTATCCCAAGTAAGTAGTCTAAACTTTATTCTTTGCAGTGTACACTACAGTAAATAGTTTTACTTACATTGAATGTACTTCTTTGCAAAGAACTTCTTTAAATAAGTTATAAAACTAGTTTCATATATTGCAAAAATGTCTTCAGAGGTATTTTAATGATCACTGAAAACAATTCCTAAAACTTTTGAAGGGCTGTTTAGTGGAAAAGTGATATATAATTGATGGAACCCTTGGGTTTTTGATGCACAGGTAAGAGACTCAGTTTTGCCACCAGAAGAGCTCTGTAATTTACAGCAATAAAATGTTCTAATTTTAAAACTGATTAAAAACAACCATTCAGTTTCATGAAACCTAATGATATAAGCCTCAGTTCTTAGTTTTGTCCAGATCAGTGGAACAAACCATGCCTGAAAGAAACCCCAGTATGTAATTTTGTACATTTCTGCCAAAAAATTAACTGTTTTAAAACTTCTCTAAACAGGTTTGAAAGTAAAATTCATATTACTGTACATAATTTATTTTTAATTTCTTGTATTTATGTAATGCCTCTTCTTTCCAAATGGTTACAGACTACAGAATATACTTCACTTTTTTGAAATGCTTCCAGTGAAATATGCTGAACTTTTAACAATGCACTGCAATGTTACTAAAAGGTTTGGTACAGAAGCTGAAGATTACATTTAAAGCTGTAGGGATAAATTTTATGTAGGCAGTCTTAAGGGAAACAGCCCTGGCTTGACAGTTGTAAAAGGGGTATTGCTACTAGGGCAGAGGTCCCCAAACTGGGGCACAAAGAAATGTTCAGGGGGACATGGCTGGGGCCCAGGCCAGCCCCCACGGGGGGCGGAGAGGCAGCACCATCCAGCTGTGCTCCTGGCCCCCACCCCCCAGCTGTGGCCCCAGCCTCGGCTCCCTTACCCTTGTCCACATCCCCCATCCTGGAGCCATGGTCCTGACCCCGGCTCAGGGGGTGGGGGGCAGACAGGGGTGAGGGAGGGCATGAGAAAAAGTTTGGGGACCACTGCACTAGGGGAAAGTGCAGCAGTAGGCATCTTAGGGCTGGTCTACACTGCCGCTTAAGTCGATGTAACTTACGTTGCTCAGGGGTGTGAAAGAGACACCTCCCCAATTGATGTAAGTTACATCGACTTAAGCTCTCTCCAGACTGTGCTACGTCAGCAGGAGATGCTCTTCCGCAGACATAGCTTCTGCCTCTCATGGAGGTGGAGTAATTATGCCGACGGGAGAGCGCTCTCCCATCAGAATTGCGTGTCTTCGCCAGATGCAGCTATGCCGACACAGTGCAGTAGTGTAGACTTGCCCTCAGATTCACATCTCAGGAGTTGCTCAAGACAGAGCCATCAAAATAGTAATTTCATCAGGTTCCCTCTCTTTATTTGGTCTGGCCAGAACACCATAGGATCAAGAGAAAGGAAGCCAAGTAGTGCAGATGGTCTCAGCAGGCAGCAGTGGTGATTATGATGGCAGTGTTGGTCAATGATGCTCCAAAGCTCCCTCCCACACTTTCTACTCACTGTCATACTGAACTATTTAGCTTGCCCAGTGCACCTGAGAAGCACCCAGAGGTGAACACTGTCTCATCAAAGCTATTAATTCACATTAGTTTTATTTATATATTGCCACTTCATTTTATGGTAGAAATGGTCTGTTGATATAAAAATTCTGTGATCTCATCAGAACCTTGAAACACCTAGATCTTTTTGGGTTTATAACAAGAAACAACTTGGCGGAAAGACCTAATTATATTGTAGGATTGTCATAAGAGGAGCACCTTTTCCATCTCCCCCTTTTCCTCACATGAATCAGCTATCCACAAATCTAATCTCTGAGATTAGAAACAATGTGGTGCTTCGTAGAAACACAGTCTTTTATGTGCAGCAGCTTGGATACCTGCTAATAACAGCTTGCTGGTGGGTTGGCTCATAGTGCTATTCTGCATGTTTGAGCTGTATTTTTAATCTTTAAAATGAGTTTATTTCCAAGATCAGTTTTCATTTTCCTGTTGAGATTTAATTAACGTGTGTTTTAAATAGATTCTAGTTAAATAGGACTTCACCAAATTACTTGGATTTTATTTTCAGTAGTCTGAGCAATGCAGATAACCCCGTTTTAGCACTGAAGCCACCTAGATCTATGGATTCAGACCAAATTCCCACCCAATCTCAGGTCTCTGGGGAAACCTTTGTTGTAAAAAGAATTTACTAATTGGTAAATTTCTTGAAATATCAAAAAAGCTGTCTAAACAACTTACATCTTCAAAAGCCTCTGATAGCTGCATTAAAGCAAAAATTATATGAATGCTTTCAGTAATAAGTTAGAATGCTTGTATCAGGTCTTCATTTGCATCAGATAAGTCCTTACATCCTCATACTTCGTGGTCTGTACCAGCTTCTGCTAAATTGTCAGCAACTACAGAGGATTTGGACAGTGTTGCAACATGTATTTCTGTCTCCATTTGGGAAACAAGTACTGCTAATGGCCATCAAAGATCAGAACAGTTGACTCAACTTTAATAGTTTCTTTAATTTTAGTCTTTGAAGTGATAATTAAGAGCTTACAGTAGTTTAGATAATCTTGCCTTATTAAATTTCTAACTTGCATTTAAAAGTAGAATTTCATAAACTTCAACATCAAGATTTTACATGCCTAAATCGCTATTTGACCCTTATGCAATTGGCCCTAAAGTACTGGTTTCTGTTTTTATCCAAAGCAGGTAGTTTTTGTGGAAGTGTCTTAGTAGAAAACCAGGCTGACTAGCTCATTTGAAGCCCCCTGTTAAAACCACTCACTTTAAGCCTTGAATTGGAGAAGCCAAGTGCCTGGATAATCGCATCCCATATCTTTAAAAATGCAATTGAATACATTTGGAGAATTAGATAGCTAAGTAGAAAGTAATAGATGCATAAAATTATGGATTCTGTAACTTTATGTATTCCACAAAATCTAACCTTTTCTTAAAAAAACTTCTCTCAGTTGAGTAGATACAACCTTTATAGATTGATATTAACTGCTACATGGTAGCTTTACAGAAAACTGGGTCCAAACAGATGACAACTTATCTCCTAAAGCACTTTGTTCTCATTAAAGTATTAATTTCTTTGTCTTTGCCCAGACTGAAGACTGAGTTTAATCTATCAAATTCTGCTATTAAGGTGCTCTTACTTCTCCACTCAATTTTTTCCCGTTATGGGTTTTTACCCCCAAAATTTTCCAAGGCAGATTTTTCTTGAGAATACGGCCTCTGCTGGAAGGAGTTTGGGCTTAATTGCTTCATCCCCATATTTCCTTTAATTTGTCAGCCTTCTCCTACTTTGGAGGTGTGAATATTGAGTCGTAGTTGGAATGGTGTTGAATTACGAACATGGAGAGGAACACCCAGTTTTGTAGACAAATTATAATCATTCTCTCAGGCATTGCATGCAAATACAGGAAAAAGTCTACTTATTAAATGAGCATGGGAGGCTTTAAAGATCCTATTCTCTGGGAACTGAATTCATGTTGGTCTCAACTTAGCTAAATAAAATGAAAGAAAATGCCGGTGTCATCAGATGGTACTTGGTTTTCCAGCTATTCCAGTGTACAAGTAGATCAACACCAAAGAAGTCAGTATGAAATTGGCCTTCACAACACCTTCTGGCAAGGAGTTCCAGAGGTTGACAGTGCGTTGCATGAAAAAATACTTTCTTGTGTTTGTTTTAAACCTGCTACCTATTAATTTCATTTGGTGGCCCCTTGTTCTTGTATTATGAGGAGTAAATAACACTTCCTTATTTACTTTCTCTATACCACTCATGATTTTATAGATCTCTATCATATCCCCCTTTAGTCGCCTCTTTTCCAAGCTGAAAAGTCCCAGTCTTATTAATCTCTCCTCATATGGAAGCCGTTCTATACCCCTAATCATTTTTGTTGCCCTTTTTCTGAACCTTTTCTAATTTCAATATATCTTTTTTGAGATGGGGCGACCACATCTGCACGCAGTATTCAAGGTGCGTACCATGGATTTATATAGAGGCAATATGATATTTTCTGTCGTCTTATCATTATTATTGGCTCCAGCATCTGTGGACCAACAGTGATTTAACAATTACGGAATTTAAATTGTTAAAACTTTTATCTTTCACTTGTTTCACTGCCTTCTGACATCTGGATCTGCCTGTATGCAATGCTTGCACTCTCTGCATTTTCTGTTTATGACAGCACCTCTCCCAGCTTTCCTAAAAAGGAATTTGTCCATTATGTGCGAGCTAGTTTTAAAATAATAAATTCCATACAGCTCCTAATAGTTCCCTTCACATGTCCGTAAATTATAAATGATACTTGGACAGTAAGCTCCCTCTTGGACACCACTCTGTGTTCATCCTTTCTGATACAAACACCATTATATTTCTAAAATGCTGTGTAGTACTGCTTGTGTTGTTCACATTATTAATTCTTCAACTAAGGTGTAAATTCACAATAAACATTTGAGACCAATCCCAAAATGAAGTCCTCCAGAAACACCAGAGAAGACCACATTTATTTTTTCTTAATATTTGTAAGCTGAAAATAATTGAGTAAAAGGGGACTTGCATGGTGGGATGGCTCAGGGAGACCATTTCAGGCCTGTCTCACAGATTACAAAGAAGCAAAAAATACACAAATCCAATTTAAAAAAAATCTTTGTAGCTCATTTTTATGGACCCTTGGGTAGTTTCTGCAGCAGGCAATTGTGACCTCTCTATAATGCCTTCCCCATGGCACAATACTTGATGTTGGTTAGTTAATAATGGCACTATTTAATGTTCAATAATTTGTAAATATAAAGTAAATCACAAAAGTGTCCCGGCAAGGTGCAGATACCAGGGCTGATTAAGGCTGGAAAGGAGGTATATTTCTGTAGTAAGGTGGACTAAAGAAGTAGTGGGAGATCGGTGCAACAGGCTTTTGGATATTTGTTACACATTACCCATATATCTTCAGTAGAAAAGGAATCACTGTATTGGTGG